CAAACCCAAACTGGACCTCACCTCCCTTCACTCTCCCCAGCTCCACCCCTGAGCCCCCAGTACTTGCCCCCAGAGTTGCCATAAGTTCATTCTCTTCTCACCTGCTCTTTCTCCTCCTTCACATGGTCCTCCTGAGGAGCCTGCAAGGCTACCTCCTCAGTGTTTTGCTCCCAACTCAAATGTCACCTTCTTCAGGAAAAAGCATCTACCCGTCACATTACCGGGCTTTACTGGTTTAATACACTTAACCAGTGTTTGAAGTTATTTTCTTTGTGCTCTTGTTTATCATCTTCTCCCATGACCAGAATAAAAGCTCCATGAGTGTAAGAACCAAAAAAAAAAGAGCCATGTCTGTCTTGCTCAAGGTTCTGTCCCCACAGCCTGGACCCTTGCTGGGCACCCAGGAGAAAACCAGCCCACCTTTGTTATCTGAGGGAACTGACCCCTGGGCCAAATAGGTGTGTTGCCAGCTCTAAGGTGGCAGGTTGTGACAGGTGACCCAGGACTGAGCAGTTTGGGAGAAGGTGGTAGAGATGAGTTCTCCTGGGGGGAACTGGGAAAACCTTGAAGAAGAGAAAGGATTTGAATTGTGACGAGAACAGGTAGCACTTCTGGAGGAAATTGACAGTGCTGTTGCAGGTGCAGGGAGGTGGATGCACAAGGACTTGGAGGAGGGAATGGCTGGGGTTCGGGATGGCTGGGGTATACGATCCCTTAGCTGGAAAGTGCTAGGGGCATGGGAGGTTAACTTGAAAAAGTAGATTGTGGCCATGCTTTGAGGGGTCTTGTTATAGACTGAATTGAGCCCCTGCCCCCCAAGATTCATATGTTGAAGTCCTAATCCCTTCTCTAACCTCCAGATGTGACTATTTGGAGATAGGGCCTTTAGAGAGGGAATCAAGGTTAAAGAGAGGTCATATGGGTGGGCTCTAATCCAATATGACTGGTGTCGTTATAGAAAAAGGGAAAGAGGGCGCCTGGGTGGCTCAGTCGTTAAGTGGCTGCCTTCGGCTCGGGTCATGATCCCAGAGTCCTGGGATCGAGTCCCACGTTGGGCTCCCTGCTCAGCGGGAAGCCTGCTTCTCCCACTCCCCCTGCTTTTGTTCCTGCTCTTGCTGTCTCTGTCTCTGTCAAATAAATAAATAAAATCTTAAAAAAAAAAGAAAGAAAGAAAGAAAGAAAGAGGGAAAGACACCAGGGATGCATGCACAATGAGCAAAGAGCCAGCATCTGCAGGTCAAGGAGAGAGACCTCAGAAGAACCCAACCCTGCCCCCACCTTGATCTGGGACTTCCAGCCCCCAGGACGGTGAGAAAATAAATTTCTGTTGTTTAAGCCCCCCATTCTGTGATCTTTTGTTTTCGCAGCCCTAGCAAACTAATACAGGTCTTAAGGTTTTTATATTTTAATTTTAAATAGTGATATATTAATCTGGTTCAAGAATCCAACATAAAAAGTAATAATGACCAGATGATCAAGGTCATGAACAGCGATACGTCATGTTGATAGCGTGTGCCCTTGGTAGGATGTGGATGAAAATGGCTCTTTACCTGTGTGGCCTTCCTCCAGACATCCCCTAAGCTCAGTCTACTGATAAGAAAAACATTAGATAAATCTCAAATGAGGAACATTCTACAAAACACCTAACTTGTATTCCTCAAAACTGTCAAGGTCATAAAAAAACCAAAACAACAACAAAAACAACAACAAAACCAAGGAAACTCTGGGAAACTGTCACAGCCCAGAGGAGCCTAGGGAGACAATACGACTAAGTTTAATGTGGTGTCTTGGATGGGGTCCTGGAACAAAGAACATTGGGTAAGACTAAGGAAATCTGAATAAAGGATGGACTTCCGTTATCCTAGTGTATCGATATAGGTTGGCTGGTTGTAACCAATGCACCATCCTCACGCAAGATGTTGATAAGAGAGAAAACAGGGAGGCGAGGGAGGCTATGAGAACTCTTTATATTATCTTTGAAATTTTTCTGTAAATCTAAATCGTTCTAAAAATAAAGTTTATTTTTTAAAAATAGTGAAAATCTCGCTCAGACTTCTGTCCCTTGCCTGTGCATCGCCCATTCCCACCTACAGCCGCTGCTTTATTAGTGTCCAGTGCACCTTTCAAGAATCCTTTATGCAAATACCAATCTGTACTGCTTTTCTCCCTGAATGGCCTTTGTGGGGTTTTTTTATTTTTATTATTTTTTAAAGATTTTATTTATTTATTTGACAGAGAGAGACAAAGCGAGAGAGGGAACACAAGCAGGGGGAGTGGGGGAGGGAGAAACAGGCCTCCCATGGAGCAGGGAGCCCGATGCGGGACTCGATTCCAGGACCCTGGGATCATGACCTGAGCTGAAGGCAGATGCTTAACGACTGAGCCACCCAGGCGCCCTGTGTTTGTTTTAAAGAGCATTGAATAATTTTTACTACAAAGTATTTCAAACATACCAAGTAGACGAATACGAGGCACCCCATATACCCACCGCCCATATTCAGCACTTATCAAGAATTTGCGTGTATGCTTCAGCTATCCCTCCCTGCCTCGCTCTCCCCCTTTTGCTCAATTGTTTTCAAGCAAATTCCAGCCCTCATACATATGCTAGTGTGTATCTCTGAACAATGTGCACATCTTCTTATATTACACTAAAGCCTATATCCCACCATCAAGAGTGGTTCCTGAAGCGCCTCTTGTGAACTTCAGTCTGGGTGACAAGAACTTTGCAGGGCAGGCGTGTGTACATGTGACCCAATTATGTCTCTGTGTGGGATGATTTGGGCGTGGAGGAGGTCAGAGCAGGGAGGCCAATTATCAACAGCCTTGGTCTGGATGCCAAGTGATGGGGCCTGATGCAAGGCGGTTGCAGCAGGGTGGAGAGGAGGAGGACCAGCTGGAGAGCCTCTGGGGGCGAGGGGACACTAACCATCCTGGCCTCAGATGCACGCCTGCCTAGAGGATAGATGGGGCCTTGGTGTGCGGGCAGGGTGGCTGCCACTATCTGCACCTAAGGGTCCTACAGGCAAGAGTGGGACCCCAGTGGCTAGGCTTTCTTTCTCAGAAGAGTGGGCTCATTTCGACTACCTCAAGGCAGGGGGCACATCTCTGCAGTGCTCTAGCAAAGCCTGTCCCTTGCCTGGCTTAGTGGGTCAGCACCCACCCCCACGATTCATGAACACTAGCATGGCAGAGGTGGAAGGCTATAGGATCTCACAAAATCTAACCCCTCTGTGGTTACCCAGAGAGAAACGGAGACCCAGAGAAGGGGCTGCCAGTTGCCTAAGAACACACAGGGAGTGAGAAGCAGAGCTGGAATTGGAACCCAGGTCTCTGACTTCCTCCCATTACCCAGAGATTCCTCTTCTCTTTCCAAACCCTGCTCCCAGAAGAGATGTGTCACTAGCCACTACTGCCCATGTGTGTGAGTTTAAAACTTCCTGGGTGATCCGTCTCCCAGGGACACAGGTACGCTAAGCCAGCTTGTTAACGATAGCATAACTACAGGAAACCATTTATGGAGCACTTACCATGTACCACAAACTGTGCTAGGAGCTTTTCATACATCATGTCTGAACCTCCGCATTCCATGAGGCAGCCACTATTATTTCTGTAATCCCCCATTATAGGGATGGGTAAATTGAGATACAGAGAGATGTAGCTTGTCCAGGACCATGCAGTGAGGGCGTGGCAGAGGATGTGTTTGTCTAACTGGAAAGTCTACACTCTTAAACACCAACCCCTGTGGCCTCTGAAGACCAGGGGTGGCTTTCCATGAAGAGAACAGTGCTTACTCCCCGGCCTCCCTCCTGCGCCCAGCCCCACCCACAGGCCTTGAGAGCCTCTCAGAGGACAGGACAGGCTAAGAGAGATGGACCCTGACCACCTGCTGCCGTCTCCAAGAAGCTGGGCCCTTCCCAGGGTGGTTTATGGCCTTTGGTGTTTGGGGCCATAAACAGACCTCCGTGTTCAGGGTGCTCGCGGAAGTTTCAGCGCTGCGTGCGGAGGACATCAGACACGATCTCTCCCAGCCAGGGTTCAAATGAGTGGCACAGTGTGGCGAGCATAGGAAGGGTGCCTGCCCTTTCTGCGGCCTTTACTACACTCCGTGCCATGCCCTGTGATGGGCTCTGGACACGTGGCCCGGGTCTCCGTCACTCGGGCGCTCGGGCCAGAGCGGGAGGTGTCACGGGAGACAAGGCTGTAGAAGAGATCTGGTCCCTGCAGATGGGGCCTGGGCTCTAACCCGGGTCGTTCGAGCACCAAGGACGCCGGCACAGGAGGGCACAGGCGTTCGAAGCCGGGGGTATCGCCGGTGTGAAGGGCCGCGGCTGGAGAGCGCACACGAGACCAGGAAGGCCGGCTGGAGCAGGGTGCCCCGGGCCGCGTTAAGACGCGGTGGCGGACGGCCGATCAGGTGCTCCGGGGCCCGGCCGGAGCGCAGGGCGGGGTCCGGGGTCTGTCCCGAGGGCCGCGGAGCCGGGTCACGTGGACGGTTTGGGGCGCACCACGCCCCTCCGGCCCGGTCCCTCGCTGCAGCCGCACCCCGCGCCGGGAGCCCGGGGTCAGGCCGCGGCCAGACGCGGCGCTCGCCGTCGCCGCGGGATGCGTCCCGCCCCCCGGCGGCCGCCCGGAGCCCAAGGTTCGAGTCCCGGCCCTGATGTGACTCGCTGCGGGGCCGCGCCCGGGCCCTGCCCTCTCCCGGCCTCCGTTTTCCCACTCCCGAGGTCTCGGAGAACCCGCGCTCTCGCTCCCGCGCGGCCCTGCGCCCGCAGGCCGCCACGCGGGGCGGGGCAGCGGCGAGGCGTCCGCAGCGCGCCCGGCCGCGGGAGCGCGGACGCGCACGGGCGCGCTCGCACCTGGCTGCCGCGAGCGGCTGGGGGCGGGGCCGGGAAGCTCCAGCCCCCCGGCCCCGCCCCCGGCCCCGCCGAGCCAATCGGAGGGGGCGGCTGGCCCCGTGTGGGCGACGCGCTGGGGGCGGGGCCTGCGGGGCTGAGGAGAGAGCCCGAGGGCCGGCGGCGCGAGGCGGTCGGGCGGAGGCGGCGGCGGCGGCCGGTCCCGGGACAGCGACGCAGCGCGGCGGAGGCCGCGACAGGGCCGGTCAGGCTCCGCAGCCCGCCGCAGCCGCAGCCGCCGCCTCGCCGCTGAGGGCCCGAGAGCGCGGCGGCGGGTGCGCGGCCTGCGAGGACGGCCGGAGCGGCGGGCGCGGCGCGGCGCCGAGCGTCCTGTCAGGCGGCCGAGGGCGCCGCGGACCCGCGCCGAGATGATGCCGGTGGGTGCGGGCGGCGGCGGCTTCCTCCGTGGGCGGCCGGCCAGGCCTCCTTCCTCCCGCGGCTCCCCGCCCCCGGGCCCCGCGCGAGGCCGGGCGGGCGGGGAAGGAAGTGGCCTGGCGGGCGCGCCCGGCCCCGGCGCCCCCCGGGCGGGCAGGTGGGGGCGGCGCCGGGGCTGTCAGCGCGGGCCGGACCGGGGGCTGGGGACCGGGGACCGGGGCCCGGGCCAGGCGGTCGGGGGCCGGGGCGAGGGTCGCGGCGGTCGCCCACCTCCGCCGCCCGCCCCCCGCCCGGGCCGGCGCCCCCTCGGCCGCGGCTCGGCCCTTCTTGCCGGCCCTCCCAGTTGGGGGCTGCCCGGGGGGGGAAGCCGGAGGTGAAACTGGAGCCAGTCGTTTTTCCGTCCGTCCTGGCGGGTGTTCGGACAGGGGTGTCGTTTGGCGCCCGCTGGGTTTCGGGGTCTCGCGGCGCCCCCGCAGCCCCCCGCCTGCGATTTGCTGGGCTTGAGCTGGGAGCCGGCGGTGTGTACGCTCCCGTGTGGGCTTCCCACCCTGGGAGCCGCACGTATTTCCTTGGCCCTCCCCTGACGCTGAAATTGTGTTGTATTGAGGAATTTACACAGGGATCGGGTTGGGAGAGCCATCTTAGGAACTCCTTTTCACCGTGTCCTGGAGATTTGCACATTTTGCTCTGAGCGGTCCGTTGTCACTGCGATCTGGAGGTGGAAGGAGGTTCGTCGGTGGGGTGCCGCCTTTGTCCTGTCCTCAAGGATGCGTTCTGCTAGAAGGATTTGCCATTTCCTTTACCTGCCGTCTAAATCGCAGTGCGCGCTGAATTACAGTGTTTCTAGTCTGGATTTTTGTGAGGTGGTTCATGACTTAGGAAGGAATGTAGGACCGGTGGTCCCCAGCTGGATGGCCTGGTTTTCTGAGTGCCTTTATTTTAAGTACAATTCCCAAACACGTTTATAGTGAAGTAACAACAAAAGCATTGCTTTAACCTACAAATTCTACACTGGAGATCACGTTTCGGAAGGAAAGCGCCGTTTCTCTGCATTTTCTGCTCGAGTACTGCTCTTCTGCGATGCTGCACTCAAGGACATTCAGATTAGAATTCCCCCCCCCCCCCCGATCTTTCAGGTCATTTCCTGCCTCTTGATAATCTCTTCTCCCCTTTTTGAACTCATTCCAGCACGTCATGTTTACAGATTCTTAAGCTTTGACCTCATTGATCCTTAGATCTTTGGCATCAGGGCTTGCTGGGTTTCTAAACATTTGGTTTTAAATGAATGTCTTGTAATGGAAAGAGAATTGGATGAGTATCAGAAGATCCGGAGTGGAGTACTGGTTCTGCTACTTTTTAGCTATGTGACCTTGAACAAGTCAAGGTCTCAAGCCTGGAATTACCTCTGAAATAGGAATAAAAACATACCAGTGTCTGAGGGCTGTCCTGAGGATCAAAAAGGATGATGTGTCCAAAAGTGCTTGTCAAACAGAATGCCATGCAAATATTTATTATTGTTAACATGGCTCTGAATGGTCAATTTCTAATTTTAACCTCTGCAAGATAAGGCATTTGGAAGCTGTTCCCTCCCTAATTATCACTGGCTAGATTTGGAAAAGGCATTGTAGTGTCTTGGAATTTTGAAAGCAGTGTTAGTTAAATAATGTTATAGTTGATTTCACTATATACTACAGTAATATTGAAGGATATTTATAAAATTTTGATTGGTTTCATCATTGTGTAATGTTTCATTATAAATGCCCTGTTAAGGAACCTGGCTTACATTTTCCATATGGTACACTCAGATGTTTTACCTCTATTCCACATGCTTAGAGTTTCTAGTCTCTTCCTTATCAGGTTTCTTTTTTAAGAAGTTTGCTTACCTGGCAGTTGGGAAATTTCTTCATGATACTCAAAATAATCAAATACTACTTTTAACAAAACAGGTAAGCTTATTAACTATTTAAAACACACTGCTTTTGTTTTGAAATCCCTTCTAGAAACAGATGGTATTTCTCTTAGTTTCTCTTTTGTGGCCTTTAGGTCTGTATTTCCTTCTTGATCCTAAAAAATACTACTTGTAGGATTGAGTTCTTCCTCTATTAACACAAGGCTGGCTGTAGATTTAATTAAGTTCTAAGGACATGCCATTCTTTCTTGGTCCTATCTTAAACCATGTATCCAAGATATAAATAAGATTTTTCTTTATTGTATAGTTGGTGTTCATCATTATGATGAATCATCAAAGAAAGATTGGATCATATTTTGCATACTTTGTATAGAGCAGTACTTTCTAGTAGGAATGTAATGTGAGCCACACAAACGTGATTTTAAATTTTCTAGGAACTACATAAAAAGGTGATATTTTAGTAATGTCTTTTATTAACTCATTATATCAGAAGTATTATTTTAACATGTAATCAACATGAAAAGTTTACTAATGTGATATTTTACCTTTTTTTTTTTTTTTTTTACATTAAGTCATTGAAATCCAGTGTGAATCTGGTGAGGTTTTACGTTTATAGTACACCTCAGTTTAGAGTAGCACATTTCAAGTGCTCAGTAGCCACACGTGGTTAGTGGCTACCATATTGGGCAACACAGGTTTAGAATATATTTTAGTTATTTGAGAATTGGCAATTAGTGTGTAGTGTCTGTGGTAACTTAACTGATCAGATGGTTTACTGTAGCACCCAGTCTCTCAGCTGTTGGGTATAAAGGGGAGTATTCTGACACGTTTTCATCTGACACAGTAAAGTCTTTGTAGAAGTCTTCAATTTGCCTGTTATGGGAAGTTCGTGACCATTTACTTTTTTTTTCTTTAAGTGGGCTTCACATGTGGAGCCCAATGTGGGGCTTGAACTCACAACCCTGAGATCAAGAGTTGGTCACTTAACTGAGCCACCCAGGTGCCCTGTGACTATCTACTTTTAAACAAAGTTATATTTTGGGGGGCGCCTGGGTGGCTCAGTCGTTAAGCGTCTGCCTTCGGCTCAGGTCATGATCCCAGGGTCCTGGGATCGAGCCCCGCATCGGGCTCCCTGCTCCACGGGAAGCCTGCTTCTCCCTCTCCCACTCCCCCTGCTTGTGTTCCCTCTCTTGCTGTGTCTCCCTCTCTGTCGGGTAAATAAATAAAATCTTTAAAAAAAAAAAAAAGTTATATTTTGGAATTTTCCCTTATTAAAATAGTATTGCATTCTAGTGTCTGTAGTCATTCACCTTTTTGTCAGTGGATGACATTTTAACAATGTTTTCCCAAGAAGAAAATGGGCTATCCTTTAAAGATTACTCGTTGGCTCCTCCCTAAGATCTGGACCTGAAGGCATTTAGGCCATGCCTAAATAACTTTGATAGAAATAAGAATATTAGTAAAAATAGCCTGATTCAGAGCATTAAAAGTATGAAAACTGCCTTGCTCATTTGTCAGCATCTTTCTTTTCAAAAGAGAATGAGCATTTTGCAGCTGGTAAAACTTGTGCAAAGGTGAAATATATATCTGGGGAATAGTGTTAAGGATACTTTTTTCTCTTCCAAAGGAATGTTGATGTGAGTAGAGGAAGTTCAGTGGTTCTAAAGTGTGTTTTATTCATAAGAAAGGCATTCTATATTATGCAGCCATCAAAAGGAATGAGATCTTGCCATTTGCAACGACGTGAATGGAACTGGAGGGTATTATGCTGAGCGAAATGAGTCAAACAGAGAAAGACATGTATCATATGACCTCACTGATATGAGGAATTCTTAATCTCAGGAAACAAACTGAGGGGTGCTGGAGTGGGGGGTGGGGTGGGAGGGATGCGGTGACCTGGGTGATAGACACTGGGGAGGGTATGTGCTCTGGTAAGCACTGTGAATTGTGCAAGACTGTTGAATCTCAGATCTGTACCTCTGAAACAAATAATGCAATATATGTTAAGAAGAAAAAAAGATAGCAGGAGGGGAAGAATGAAGGGGGAGAAATCGGAGGGGTAGACGAACCCTCAGAGACGATGGACTCTGAAAAACAAACTGAGGGTTCTAGAGGGGAGGGGGGTGGGAGGATGGGTTAGCCTGGTGATGGGTATTAAAGAGGGCACGTTCTGCATGGAGCGCTGGGTGTTATGCACAAACAATGAATCATGGAACACCACATCTAAAACTAATGATGTAATGTATGGGGATTAACATAACAATAAAAAAATTTTTTAAAAAGGCATTCTAGTGGTAGTGTTTTGGTCATGTTAGTAGTGACTCCTTACCTGACGTGGATACCACACAGTATGACTAGTTGATTCCACTCCTTTCTGTCCTAGGAGCCCTTTCAACATATTCATGATAGGCTAGGGGTTAAATTAATTTGTGCTTAATATTTAGCTCTCATTAAACAAACATTCACTTATTTCGGATATTCACTTTCTTCCCAACTATGTACAAAAATAATTTGAGGTACTAGAATAGGTCTTTCTTTTTTTAAACCATCAACTGTCCAGTAATGATACATCAAATTAGAAGTAGGGAGATTTAGTTTCTAGTCCCCACTTGTTAGTAACCTTGTGGCCTTTGGATTTAATTTCTTTGGGCTTCAGTTTCTCACCTGTGAAATGAGTTGGTCTTGGTGATTTCCAGCTGTTTATGGTTGGTCCAGCAGTTGATACATAGCAGATACTTTCATGAAGGGCAGTAATCAGGCTACATCAGAGGTTGAGGCAACCTGACACTTGTTTTGACAGCCTGATAGTAAACTTGTTCACTGCCCGAGTATCTTTGTATCATAGAGCAGATAAGAGTTCAGTAGGTGTTCACTATTATTGTGAATTAATAATTTAGTCACTTGATAGGCTTGAATTATCACCTAATTCAGTAAACAAAACCCTGAAGATTGGAGAAGATTGTCTTTTTAACTCTAGTTTCTTTATTTTTTTAAAAGATTTTATTTTTGCAAGAGAGAGAGAGAGAAAACCAGCCAGGGTGGGGTGGGGGAGGGCAGAGGGAGAAGCAGACTCCTGGCTGAGCAGGGAGCCCA